TATTTTATAATGATGGGGAAACGGTTTTTGTGTGGAACCATTTAGTCTGGAGATATTATATTGATATCATGCCATAAAAACATTGGCAACAATACAACTTTGAAGCTTGTCTAACATCCATCCTCCCTGCTGTGTGCATACTGAGAGCAAACGAAGGGATTCCAGGAATCTCAGAAATAGCCGCTGCAGCTGTGAGTTTCAGTGTGCGTCAGGAAAACGCAAGCATCAATCCGCAGAACAGCACCCATCCAAAACAATTTACTCCAGCGCTATTACTGTTATTAGCAGCAGCAAGGCAGCCTGTGAGTGTGATGGTTTGGTGTGGTGTGAGTGAGTGTGTGTGTGTGTGCAGGACAAGGTGCAACACTTCACATAGTGTCAAGCACATTAGGGGGCGGGTGGCAAGATGCAGCCTTTAATCCAGGCAGTGGAACGGGTGTCCTGTCCTCTTTTGGACAGTTAGATAGCAGCCCAGTAGGATGATCTGAAATGGTAAGAGCTCAGAGGTCCTATCCAAGTATCAAATGCAATGAGCGTCAACTCGCTGCTTCTTCCATTTCACACCCAAACAACATAGTGTTGACACTTTCTCATGTCAACCATTTCCTGCAGACAAAGCCTTTCCAAAACACCAAAAAAAAAAAAACCCTAGTTTCGATCTTCACTAGGACGTCGTTTTAAAAAGGCTTGCGTAATGAAACCATCCTGTTTCACCTCCCACTGAAAGACTGCTGTGTAGGCTGACAGGAAGGGAGAATGCCTAGGTGCCTAGGCAGGAAATCCTGTAGTTTGTGTGATACAGAAAAAACAAAATGGATGCAGACTCATGCCTAAAAAGCAATTTAAAAGTACTAAACTGTGCAAGGACTAAACTGGGTTTTACTTCAGGTTACACAATCCTGAAGCTAAGAGGTTCGTATTACATAAAGAGTTGTGTGTCTTACCAGGAAAGAAGGTTGAAACCAACTTTGCTCAACTGAGAGCAGACAGACATGCTTCACTGTTAGTACTATTTCCATTGTGATCTAAACTGTACTGTATTTATATTGTTGTTTAATATGGTTATATGAATGGCAGTGCCCATCTGCCAGTCAGTCCCCCAGTTGTTCCAGTCCAGGCAGAAATATCTCAATATCTATTGGACTGGTTTCCATCTAATTTTGTACAGGCATTCATGTTCCCCAGAGGATCAGAGGATGAATCCTAATGACCTTAACTTTCTCCTAACATTTCCTCTAATCCCATCCTCAGGTCAAATTTTAATGAAATTCCCATCAGCCTCAGCTGTACACGCAAATTAGCAAATGTTTGTATGGTAACACACTAAAGACACTGAACATACTAAACATCATACCTGCTGTTAGCATGCTGATGTTAGCATTTAGCTCAGTGCATACATGTCTTTAAGTATAGCCTCACAGTGCAGCTAGCGTGGATGTAGCTGATGTCCCGACCAATATCAAGAACAAACCTACGCCCTTGTCCACAGGCCATCAGGCTCGTGAATGACACTCTTGCACTAGCCCTTTCACCAACACTGCAGACTGTCCTCTGATTTCTGGGGAGTGCAATGAATGACTCACACCACCCTTTTCACATAGCCTACACTTACATACTAGCAACCACACACAGACATGGCCATGAAGCACTGGTGGCAACACAGCATATTTATGTATACTTGCACAGACTTCCTGTTTACAATGTCTGTATACCGTGCTACTTTTTCTTGCACAACTACACACTACATATATATATGTATACAAGTCCATATTATATTTTCTTGTTATTTATGCCCACTTTGGTTTTTTTATGTCTGAGGTTGCTGAGGATGTGAAGAATAAGAATTTCACTGTACTGTGTAACAAATTGTTTCCTGTACCAATAACAAAGTTTGATTGATTGGTTGACTGATCGATTGATTTGACTGATGCTGAAGTGATCAACTGATGTAATAGGTACATTAATCGATAATAAAAACAATCAATCATAGATCTAATACTGTCTGAGACATATTAAGAATTTATACATACAACTGATATTATGAGTCCTTAAAGGAATAATTTCGTGATACAGTATAGTCCTGTGCGAGCACCTCTGTCTCTGAAGAAATCGTTATAGAAATAATATAGTGAGTCTGCCATTATTTCAGCGGGACCAGACGGTTATAATCCGCTCAACTCCAACAAAGACAGAAAAGCGCTGGAAATCAGACAGGATTTAAAACCCTGCTGTCTGGCCTGTCCGTCTGTCTGTCTGTCTGTGTCTCTGAGTGAACCCCGCGGCGGAATGTGTCTCTGTCTGCGTCTCCTCTCTCTCTCTCTCTCTCTCTCTCTACAGACAAGACAAATTAACACATTATCCACTTGAGACAATAACGGAGCACTTGGGCCAAACTGGGGAGCGCATTATTTTTACGCATGGATGAATCCAGAGCGGGAGACACCACCACTGCTGTTTTATGAACATTATCATCTGATCTGAATGTCTTGAACCAAATGTGCGTCCAGGGAGTGAAAATCTGGGGACAGGGTTACATTTTTATGCAGGGCAGAAATGTGAGAAATTACTGACCGGGATGTTTGTGGCTGAAAACAACTATCAGCTATGAATAGTTTAACGCATTCCATGGCTTTTATAAACGCGCTCTTGTGCCCTATCACTGGATTTACAGTTTTGCTGTGACACTGACAGGATTAGCACGGCTAGATATTTTTCACACGGGTGTAGGAGTCAGTTGACCACAGCAGTCAGTCCATTAACACGGCCTTCCTAACTGTGCAAAAAATTGTCCATGCATGAAGAGTAATAAGTTTCTTATTTAAAACTCACCAACATAATGCACCACACACGTCTGTCCTTTTTTGGGGAAAGTCCTTCCTGTGAAGAAACCAAAGGAGCGCTTAATATAACGGCCGTGCGCAATTAAGGCGGCGTTTCTGCTGCTGTATTACACATGCAAACATGCACTTAATCATTAATACACAAACGTTGCCTTTTCGTGCAGTCGTTTTACCGTCACCCGGGGTTATAGTCTCGATTTCGACTCCCATTTTAGTGGTGTGTTCTGGAGCTGTCCCTGCGCCCGGCCACAGTCCTCCCGTAGCCCGTGTCTCGTCTCCTCCGGCGGATGTTCTCAGCTTTCTGTGTTTCTGGGTCTCTGCAGGGAGACGAGCGTCAAGTTCTCATATTATACAACAACACTTCCGCCCACTACCTAAAAATTAAATCCCACACAGAGGGATATCAGCCGGCAGTACGAGCCCTCTGGCGGCCAAAGTGTGGATCCACCATAACTTGAATCATTTTGAAAGAATTCATCGCACTAGAATAAAGAATTAATCCCAGTGGTTAAAAACCATCTCTGTGCTACTCAACAATAAAACCAGAACAACACTTTGTGTAAATTGAACACCATCAACAACGTTAGCTTCTCATTTATCACAAACTAGATTACTACAGAGAAAACCCCCGCACATGAACTCCTGCTGCCACATTTTACTGAGTTGATCATTCTGAACTACACTCGCATTTCACTGTGCCAATAAACAGCAGATGTTTCCGCTGAGATCAAATGGAAACAACTACATTTCTAACCCTGATGGATAAAACTGGATAATTGGAAAAAATAATCTGCCCTCACAAAGGGACTAACATCGCTGTGCAGTTTACTTTAGGCTGCTCTGAATAATGAAAAGAAAGCAGAAGCTGGCAGAGAGTCAAGTGATGAGAGAGAGAAGTTAGCAGAATGGCTCTGAATCAAAGCACCTAATTCCACCAGCAGACACTCAGGTATTCAGCTCACATTACCAGAGAACTTTTACAGCCATAGCACAACACCTGCATCTTCTTCCCTGTAGAAACAAAACACAGCAAGTGCTCTGAATACACAAACAACTGCAATGTACTGGGAGGTCCTTAAGGCAAACACGCTGCAACAATGACCAACAGATGCAGGGAAAACAGACAATATGGTCTCCATTCAGTCACATGCTATTGTATTGTAACCAAAAGCAACAGTGGAATATATTCACACTTTTAGCTTTGACCTTCAGGCTCATTACTAGCTTTTGGGGATGCTGCTCTGAGGTCACGGTATAAGAACAAACAAATGCTCCAAGTGCACGCCATAGTGTCCGTGCAGGTGTGCTTTGCCTCAGAGACAAAAGTTGGTCCAAACTACAAACTGAAGCAAGGATTAGAGAATATCTTGTCTGCATATCTCTGAAGACACAGGAATGGTTTTCACAAAACTGAGAACTAGGCAAGTTTTGATTTACAGGAAAAATCTTTTCAAGTGGATGTTTTCTGATTGTGTTGACGAGATGACACTGAACGTCATGGAAGCCTTCAGGGAAAAACTACAGCGAGTCATTTTTAGTTTGATGTAGTCGATAAAACCGTTTTCCCACCCACTCTGTGGGTGGAGTGTGTGTTTTAACTGTGCTGCAACTGTGCTACAAATTGCTTGTGTCATATGTATTGCATCAAGTAGTTCTGTAATTCTAGTTTTGACCTGGGCAGTCAGTATGTTTACCTTTGAAGACCATTGGCTTGTTTTTTAAAGCAGTATCCTTTACTGCAAACTTGACCAGTGGCCTTACTTTCTGTATGTTGCATTAAGATTTTAAATACCGCAGTGTTTGACAAAATGTGTAAAAATGTACCAAGAGTTATTGCACACAAAGTTGATATATTAGCCCCATTTCAAAAAGCAAAAATAAATTACACAAACGCCGAAGCAGACAAATGTTACTCTACATATATACACCAATCAAGTTTTTATGGCAACATTTCAAATGCCTTTCAGATGATTACTCAGACCTTTGTGTAGGCTTAACTAAACGAATGACAAAGTGAGCATTGTGGGCACAGCTGTAGTCCTTTTTATCTTACTTACCTTATTTATCTTACCTAGTTTATACAGTCCTACTTTTCATCTTTTTTGACTCAAAGAAATGTTTAAGACCATTCTCTGTTTAACAAGTTTCAGACAACAGACAATCAACATTCCTGAAACATGGCTACTGCCCAGTCGGTTTAGTAAAAGCTCAGGTAAATGTATGGCAGCAACACATTTGGATAAAAACATATCACATTTGGAAAAAAATCCACAAAATTGACATTGTTACTACAATTAATATCTCTCACTTTACAAAACATCTTTCCAAAGACAATAAAAACCCAAACCACTAAGTTCTTTGTACATCAACCATAAAATGAATTTATTTTTCTGGAGGTCCAAACATATTTCTGTGTTGCCCCAGGATGCATAGAAGATGTCAGTGTGTCGTAGGAATTCAAATTCCACCACTACAAACCAGTGTTTACAAGCTATATGTTGTTCTGTTCAGCCATTGGTTTGATAATAAAGCCATGTGCAGCTGTAATATCACACAATATCAAAATGACACCGTGTAACTGGGACAATCCTACAACCTGTAAAGGAAAAAAGAAGGAAGGAAAAAAGGCATCTTAAAAAAATAATTCCATCTCATTTGAACAAAGAGACTGGTGTGGTTGTGGAGGTGAAAGAAGGAGCGTAAGGCTACTGGTTTAGGTTGGTTTGGGGAACAAAAAAAACACCACCAGTGTTTTGGTACAGTTACATCCAAAAAGAGTATGTGAAGAGAAATGAAAACCTGCACAAAACCACACTATCAACGTGTACTTTTACCTTAACAAAACTAGTATTCATTTGTGCTGTTGAGGCAGAAACAAACAGCGAATCTGCGGCTGAATTGCTGAGGCCCCAGCACCTGACAGTAAACAGAGCTGAAGGGACAGATTAAGGTTAATAGAAAAGGAAAAGTGAGGATCAAGTTAATGGAAAATAAAGCCAGGGTTAGTGAATATCTCTACCACCAAAGTGCTCTTCAGAAAGCTGCCCTGCTACTGTCTTTGGGTTAAACTCTACCACAATTCAACAGCATCAGCAGCTTTTCAATAGCACACAGTTTCTCCTCATTACTGCCCATCACAGATCACGGAGGTAGATAATCAAAAATCAGAAGTCCGTACATAAGTCCATTTTTTCCCCTCCCTAAGGAGGAGCAGCAGGTTTCGCCAGGCTGTTAGCTAGCCACACCACTGGGAGGAGCTTGACCTCATACTCCCCTTCACTTTAGCCGCTGAACGATGACGGCGTTGAGGAGGTTGGCCTGTTGCAATGTTTGGCTCTCATCCGACAGCTCCTTGTTGGGGAAGGTGGTCATGAGAACAAACTCTCTGGCGGCCATGGCGGGGCCTGCCGCCACAAACTGACGCAGATCGGACACCCTGAGGGGAATGACAACACATCATGGTTTTAATTTTGTCTACATGACAGGATGAAATCTGAGCCCTGTTCTTCGCATGTGGCCAACCAAGTTACTCAGATTAGAAGGCTATGATTTGACAACTTAATACTGTATACGCAAGCCTTAGGCCCAAATTTGCAGTTTACTCACAGCTACGTGGATCATAACCAAGATGCTTTAGGGCTACTCTTGCTTAAACCTATTTACCAATGAATCCTCCACAGTCCAATCACAAACTGAAAACAGACTCAGACTTACTAAAATAGCTCCAAATCAACAAAACCATACATCCTAAGGCCTATTTCTGCAGTTTTACCAAAGTCAAATAACCTTTGACCTTTCATTGCACACCATGCACAGTGCTGCTTTTCATATCTCTGTCTTCACATCATGTGTATTCCATACACATGCCTTACCAATGTGTAATGCAGCGCGATACAATTCTTCCGAGGCAAACAATTCTTGAAAGTTAACACACACCTAGATTGGCAATGTCTATCTCCAGTACAAATTTCATCTGGATCTGATGGCTAATTAAAGTTAACACTGAAAACCCCATTTAATGTACATTTTCTGCCATAATTTGGCCTGTAATGAAGACAGAAGCCTCAGGTAAGATGCAGAGTATAACTGCCTATCACACACCCTAAGTGATTATCTGGATCAAGGATTTTAGGACCCATTTTGTGTCTTTCTGGAACTTATTTTTCACAAGGGACCCATTTGCGTGAGCAAATGTTGTGTCTCGGCAGAGGTATATGAACTGTCTGAGTGCCCTTGTTTCTGGTTTATTTTCCTCACGCTGGTGCCCCCCCACTGTTTTAGGGTGAATCCAATAACTCATAACGCCTTAACTCATATTCAGATACAAATGACTCACTTTCTTAGACACAGATCAATACAGAGAAAAAATGTGGTTATAACTATGATTTTAAATAAGAATGTGCAGGTCACTGAGAAATCATCACAATCTGTTGACATAATTATTATACAACCATCCATATACATGATAAAATATAAAAAATAATTATCTAAAACTGGGAAACACAAGACAGGCGCACCATTTTCAGACTAACTTTCAGTGTGTTCTCTTAAACAGTAAACATTTCCATAGAACTGAGGAAAACAATCAATCACCTGTGGGTATGGTTGAACTTCTGGACCAGCCTGCCACCGTCGGCCAGTCGGATCTGAATGTTGGTAACAGGCTGGGCGGGGTCTAGGGTCACAGAGGCACTGGCCTGGGCCTCATTGGCAGCCTGGTCCTGCTGGGAGGTGTCAGGAGTTGAAATCAACTCTGGGGTGGCACTAGAGACAGGAGAAGAAGAAGAAGAAGAAGGGAAAAAATAAAGAGTTTACTCTGACCTATTTATAAAACTGTGGTCATGATGAAAACTATATCAGCTAAGGAAAAGAAAAATTCAGAATAGCGTAGTTATTTCATAGGATGTTACACCACTTCTTTACCTAAAAGCATGCAACGATCACAAGTAAAGAAAAGCACTGCTGAATAGCTGCAGCTGTGCAAACTGGACATCAGGGAATATAGGCAGAGTGAAGTGGTGAGAATTTATGCTCCTCGCTCAGGGAGCTGTTCGCCCGCTCTGCTCCTCTGCTCCCTGCTCATTATCGCTCTGCTCAGACTGCACCCCCTCACTCCAAAGAAGGGGAAAAACTCTGCATGTATTTCACTTTTAGCTTAACCAACAGCCTTGCATCCCAAAGAACAATGACTACTTTTTTCCAAATAGAAATGTATTTCTAATTACAGTTAAGCCTGTGTAACAAGGAATATAACACAAAAAGTGTTGGATGACTGTGCAAGAGAAAGATGCATTCTGGGTCAGGCTTGAGCATGATTCAGGCTTGTGGTGTGAGCGCTACCAGAGTGAAATTGGAGCGGGACATAGGACAACACTCCTTTTTTTAAAAAAAGCTGCTCTGTGCTCTGCCCAAAATCCACCTGCTCATGCTTTCCGCTTGCTCGCGCTCAACTCCGCTCACATGATCTGCTGGATATCACATTTCTATTCAATCTCTACATTATTTAATTAAAAAAATTTGATAACTGAATGATGATGCAGAATATACAGTACATGTGCCACTTTAGTTGTGCTGCTTTTTAATTCAGATTGTTTCAAGTGCTGTTATTTTACTAGAAGAGTGGAGACAACTCTGTTAGAAATGTAAATGCCCTCCAGAGGTTTAAGATAAAAATGTTACATGACTAATTATAAACCAGTCATTTATCTGGAATGAGTCTATGCAGGCAGTGAATTCCCAGAATAATGATGATTCATTCCCACGTAGAACAAGCAGAACTAGTTTACCAGCTTCGGCTACATGATCCGTCACATTAAATAAACCAATGACAAGACACTTTTCAATCTCACCTTCCCAACTTCTGTCCTTCACCTTCAAAGGCCTTGAAGACCAACTTGAGTTTGGAGAAGTCCTCATCTCTGTGGTCCTCCATGTCCAGGTTGACCTGGCCCCCTCGAGACCGCTGCCGCAACTCCAGTGGAATCTCCCTGCAGGGAGACAACCAACAGGTGAACAGTGCTATCAGTGCATGATATGCAAATGTTACTAGGTTTGACCTTGCAAGACTATCAACCTTTACTGAAAAGTGACCAGGGTGCTCATTCAGACGTGACGCCAACATGTTCAAATGCTGTTAGATCAACAGTAAGCAGCGCATGTCTGAAAGGAGCTTAAGTCTAGCAGTCAAAAAGGTGAATCAGTGATATCAGTTAAAATACCAGTATAGTTGAATTTAACAGAATATTCTCACCCTCTTCTGATAGCCTCAAGGAAGTTGGCATTTCCAGGATCGTTGTAGTTTCTGAGGTCACCATTATTCAGACTGAAACCCGTCTTCCACAGCTTAAGCACCACATGTACCTAAAACACAAACACACATCATTCAAGTAAGACAGGTCAGTCATCAATATGGACAAGAACAACACAATGAGTTGTGTTAGGTACAATACACTGTGTTTGATAATAACTGTAATGTAAACAAAGTGATAACTATATTTTAGGGCTGTACCCAACTAAGGGCTGCCATATGAATTCGTCAGAATAACAAGACAGGCAGCACACTTGTTTTTCTGTTGAAATAATGCTTGTAGAGGCTTCTCCTATCAGTTAAGCACAGCGCATGTTGTTACTGCGCGTTTGACGTGTACCAGTCTTTTAATCATGCTCTGCACCATAGAGGGTGACATTTTCTGTGAGGAACATTGCTTTTAAACATTTCAATAATTTTGTCACACATATGTTGGCAAACTGGCGGTCCTCGGCCCATTTTTGCTCCTAAAGGGCTTGGCCTTTCCTGGATGCCACTTCTGTAACAAATCATGATTACAACCACCTGTTGACGTCAGCTGTTTCAAATGGAATCATCGTTTCATCGTTTTACCTCATTACTGGCCCTGTAATGCAACAGTCCCAACTTTTTTGGAATGTGTTGCAGGTATCAGGATTGAAGTGAGTGTTTATTTTGAACAAAGGTTAAAATTGATGAGGTAACATCAAATAATGTGCTGCTGTATTGTTTTCAGTGTGGACACAGATGATTTACACATCACTATTTCTGGTTTTAATTTTGATTTTATCTACCATCCCAACTTTTTCTGATTTGGGGTTGTAAAATAGACCACAATGTTTTTTTCTAATACTTCTAATAAAATACAGATCTCACCTTTATGTCGCTTGTTCTAGTGGGTTTTGTTGTCCTTTTCTCCCCCCCTTCTGCAGTTTGCTAAAATAGATCTGACCTTAATGTACATCCATGCATCAGACAGTGTCACCGTTGAAGTTTAAGACAAATGTATACATAAATTAAGATGATTCCAAAGTAGGTTTAATTCCTTTTCTTGCCACTATGTGACTGCCTGAACTATCACAAGGTTTTATAACAATAATGCTTTATCTCATGAGTACAGAAACAAACATTTGTTTAAGTTAAATGTCCTGACAAAGAATAATGAACTCAAAGAATGAGGACTGAAGAAAGTTGACTGATCACTTTCTTTAATAAAAAAAAAAAAAAAGAGCCAAAGAGGGGGTGACAAGTGCCCAAGAAGCAGGATATGGCCTGAACTAAATAAAAAGCGCAAAGCAGAAGCCATCAGGATCTGTACTCACATCCTGCTGGCTGTTGGAAGCTTGCCTTTCTCCGGCCACATAGGTGGACTCCTCCTCGGGAGCTGCTCCTAGTCTATAACCGCCACCTACAAAGGCCTGAGGGATGCGTGCAGACAATCAAAACAAAATGAGACATCGCCAAAAGGAAGGATAGCTACAAACACACAAAGCAGCAAATAAAATTGCTCACCCACAAGTTTGAGCAATGGCAAATTAAAGTATACACTGCATATTAAAAAGTGGCAATACAGAAGCAGGCAGACATGAACAGCAGAGGGGAAAAACAACAACAAGATTGTCATGTGCTGGACTTTACCCTGGCTTTGCTTGGTTCTCCTAGCCCTTTCCCACTCCGGTCTAGAGGAACAGCTCCATGTTCTCTGGCCCCCTTGAACAGGTCCTCCACCACTTCATGGGAGCTCTTCTTCTTGGGAGGCCCAACAATCTGTTGCCCGCTGCGCTCTGATCCCCCTGCAAAAAACCTGGAGGGGGACATAGCATTGTGTAACTAAGGATAGTAAGAAATTCTTCCATCAGCATGTGTAACATAGTAGGGCCTTGGAGAGATATAAGAACAATTCAGCCAAGTCAGAACTCCTTTGCTGTACTTTCTTCACTGCCACACCTTACAACTAACTGGTTGATCTACATGTAGCTCATTGTACTGTATGTATGCTAGATGAGTTTCTAATACCTTTTAATCCTTTATTATCCTTTTGTGTGGGATAATAAAGCCTGCAACCCAGAACTGATTCTGTGGTCTGAATCCTTTGAAGCTTAACCCCTTACAATGTGGATCTGTAAGTCTACAGTACATTTGATATGGCACAAGTATGAACTGAACCCTGTAGGATTAATATGAAGACCACAGAAGCACAAGATTAAATACCCACAGAGATTAAATGCACATCTTGTTCTGCTTGCCAAGATCACTGACAAATGTATCACCTAAGTGTCACCCCCTTTGCAAAGAGTTTATTCTCTTTGCAAAGGGGGTTGTTAGGCTATAGATGAACTAAACCTTGGCTTCCAACTTGTAATTTCATTTATAGCACCTTCCTCTTTGACCAAATCATTTCCTCATAGTACAACCTGATCTAACTAGTGATCATGGCCGGGTCAGTTGGTCAGAATAGTTTGCAAGCTTAAAACATAATGAGGTTTTAAAGGCGGACTGTGGAGTAGATGAGCCTTCACGTTTAGCATGATGACGCTTAATATCCCAGACAGCCTCTGTGGTCTCATTTAGCCACTTCTTTGCAACCGCCTTTTTTAAGATGTGTAAAAGCTTAAAAAACAAATCACAAGTGTGATATTTACTGATGTATTTTATTTTATAGAAAATGAAACGGTATTGGCTTTGTGTTAACCACAGTCCTTATTTCACTTTAGGGCAAGGGAAGTGGAAGCCCAAAAATGCTAACTCAGTCCTGGGTTTATAGACTCACTACAACAGTACTCTATATTAGACACTTCAATTTAACCGGAGAAACACCAGCATATTGCTGCTTGTGTTGTGTTGAAGTGTCTAGGTAGCCCCTTATGTACAATATTCCAAGTTGTGCAGAAGCAGCACAGTTAAAGACAGTAGGAAATACAATGCAAAAACAGTGAAAAATGACTTGAGCCAACAGTTAAGTCAATTCAAGCAAACATGCCCTGCAAAACCGAACTAGGAGAAATGTAAATCATGTATAAATCTGTAACAACCCACGGTAAAAAAAACAACAAAAAAACAATTACTGTTCTTTATTTCAGTTTGCCAGTAATGAAAATGGACTAAAAGGCCATTGGCAACCCCACACAGTCACTTAACAGCCAGTCCGCTGTACTGTCCTGGCAGCAGAAACTGTTGATGCTGCAGAAAAGCACACATGGTCGGCTCACACTGAATGAAGTGAAGCCAAAAATAGTTTGGTGCATTCTGGACTTGCACCCACTGAAGTGTCACTAGACAAACTGCCATCTCTCCAGCATGGAACAACTATCACAACCATTTAGGATGGCCAAAAAACCTGGCGGCTACTGTTAGTACATACATGATCAGATGGGCATTGGGTTTATTTATTGACTAGTCTCCGAGTCCATTTTAATCCCTGATCCACTCTGAGGTGTCCTTGGTCATGACATTCAATCCCTACCAGGCCAATGAATGCTTTTCTCTAACTGATCTATTCCTGGTCTGTGAGCTTCTCAAGAAGAAGGAGAAAAAAAACAGACAACTATCTCCCATGAATGAATGAGTCTAGCCTATCAGGGAACCCCAGACAACTATCTCCCATATGATGATCAATTAAATCATGGCAAAGTCTAGATGGCTCTTGAGTACAACCCAAAGTTTGCCTTTCCCTTTCCTTCTTCTGGCTCTATTAATGTGAGGGGCATGTTCACAAACTTTAAGTTAAGAATAGTAATTAAACTTACCTCTGGCCTTCCTCCTCATCACTTTCCTCCTCTGCCTCATGCATCAGATCTCTGAAGGAGGTCACTCTCGGCTGAGTGCTGACATTAAAGAAGCATGCAGGGTTAATGTATTCAGTTATATGTTACAAAATGATCTTGATGATGAAGAATAAGGCAAGTCTTAAATAAAATGAACACAGGTGCAAATAATTATGGCCCAGGGCTGTTTGATAAACTGTACTGTTGGACTTTTCACCAACAAAGAAGCAGTTCATTAGTATGCCAATACATCTTCAGAGTGAACCGTGGTATTAATAGCAGTGACAGACTGTAGACATTACCTTGGCCCTGCAGACCTGGACACTGAGGAGCCTCCCTCAGGCTGAGGAAGTGTCACTATGTCATCATCAGCTCCATCCTCAAAGAAACTGGCGAGTGCAAGCTGGGAGGAGACAAAAATCAGTATTCCACTGTCATAACAAGATCCTGACAGTTTACCAACCCAGTTAGCTAACAACTGTCACGTGTTAATACTGATCTTACAGACAACACCAAGAGTTAGATAATTCATCTCTTTCTACACACAGATTAAAGGACAACCCAACATAAAGTGTCTCAGTCAGGTATTGGGCCACTACGTGCCACCAGAACAGCTTCAGTGCACCCTGGCATTGACTTTTCAAGTGTCTCAACTCTTGGAGAGATAAACACCATTCTCCCAAAAGATATTTCCTTCATGTGGTGTTTTGGTGGTGGTGGAGATGCTAACACATTGCTCTGACATCTCCCATAAGTGTTCAACTGGGTTGAGATCTGGTAGCTGCGAAGGTCATAGCATCTGATTCACATCATTTTCATACTCATCAAACCAGTCAGTGATCCCTCATGTCCAATGGATGTCATCATGGAAGAGACCACTCTCATCAGGATAGAAAGGTTTCATCATAACGATGATCACTCGATCACCCTTCCCTCCAAAGGGACAAATGGACCCATACTATGGAAGCATTTACATTTATTATGTTTCTCCACTCACTGAATTCGGCTTTTCCTTTAACTTGTCACCCATATTTATACCATAATGTCCCAGTAGATATATTTGTATCATGCAACAATAGAGGACCTGGTCTGAAAAGAAAACTAATCATAACACTGGTTCAGTTTCATTTTCTTTATGTATTAGAATCAACAGCTAGAGTAGGGAGGAATTTTTATGGCATGCTTCACAGAGGTGGAAAGTAGCCAAATACATTTAGTCAAGTACTGTACTTAAGTACAACTTTGAGGTTTCTGTACTTTGACTAGTTTCATTTCCTGTTACTTCTTACTTTGACTTCACTAAATTTTAGAGGTAAATAGTGCTTTTTATTCCACTCTACTTATTTGATAACTTTAGGTACTTATCAGGATAAGACTAATGAAATACTGTACACTATAATAATACATTTTTATTGCTCCTTGGTGGAAAATTCACAAGGTACCAGGAGCAATTCAAATTAAAATTAGCGCCACCTTTTCCAGCAGTAACATTAAAAGTGATGTAGCCTAAAGAATAATGCTCTAACAACTTATGATATACACTAATGTGAACTGTGCCGTTCTGTATAATGAATACTTTTGGTATTTTAACTATGTTTTATTGATAATGCCTTTGTAGTTTTAATTAAATAAAACTACACGTAAACAAGTAAACTTGTTCCTGCTCATCTCTATAGCAACTGGTTTAATCATTTAATTTTCCTGTGGGGTTAATAAAGTATCTATCTTTCTTTCTACCCAAGCATTTTTCCATTATGGCATTGCTACTTTTACTCGGGTAAACAATCTGAGTACTTCGTCCGTCGCTGTGCTTCAGTGGAACAAATGACAATGCACCGCTGAAAGCTAGCCTAAGTTCTTTAACGCTACGTTAAGCTATACTGCTACAGGCTAACGCTAGTTAGCACGACTCAATGGGTTGACGATAGATTAGCGTTAGCCAAAATTTAACCGCAACCTGTTTCGTAAAAAGATAATAGGGAATGCCTTTCTTGTGACAATGATCGTGTCAACTAACCAACTGTACATCAAGTTTGTAGTCGGTGATAGGAAGCGGTCAGGCAATTGTCAAAGGGTGACTTGCACAATTTACCGGTACCACAGGCTAACTTTAGCCTGGTAAGCTATTGGTCTGACACATGTCGTATTTCTGCTTTTTTCTTTGGACTGCCATCGTACACTTCACCGTAACTATAAAAAACGCAGAAGAGACGTGCCTGCAAATTCCAGCCGGCGGACTCCAAGAAAAAACGGGCCCGCTCCTCATCCACATCAGTGACAGCGACGAACTCCCTCACAGACTCCTCTTGGCTCGCCATTTTCATGTGCTCCTTCCACGACTCATCCGCCACCACCTGGAGAAACAAGCAACAGATGATGGTTCCTATGTGGTATAAAAACGGGGCGCATAACGAAAGACACTTAAGACAAACATATTAAATAAATAAGTCGAATTTAATTTAATTTAATTTAAAGCAAGACTCTTCTAATTTAAATAATCCATAATATGTTTTATAAATTTGATAATATTGTTTTGACCACTAGATGGCAATTTATCCACAGTTTACAAAAAAGTCACAATAGCTCAGGAGCAATTGTTCTGTCACAATGTGGCATTGCTACTTTTGCTTAAGTAAATAATCTGAGTAGCCTACTTCTTCCACCACTCCACACGACTTACTTTCTGTATATCCTGTGCATATGTTTTACAAAATAGATGGTGAAGAGCCAGACGTTTATAGCTCTTTATTACAGCCAAAATAATTAACAAATGATTACACTGATAGCACCTTTGCTTAGGCTCTGTAGCTACAGTTCATAATGGCAAAATACTTGATAGTAAATGATGTTATTGGCTTGATTAAAAATATATTTACTTTGTTTATAATTTTTTTTGTCTACATCAACCATCTACCAGGCCTGCATTTTCTAATGCATTTTGATTTCTAGGCTGTATATCTTTGAGTCTGCTCATAAACATTGTTAGGGTTTTGTTTTTTTATCTCATCTTGTTTCATTATTCTGATCCCATCCCATCTCATCAAGATGTGACACCTCAGTGTGAGACCACAAAGTTTCTAATACAGCAGTCAGATTCTAATCTTCACCTTCACATCACTTTTCAGATCCTATCTCTAGTCTATCTTCTAGTGTAAGTCCACAATGAAACAAATGCTGAATGAAGTGTGAGACAACTCACATCTGACAAAACCTTTCCAGTAAACATGTGCCAGTGATTTCAGTATGATAAGCAGCTGGAGGGAATGTTCCCTTGGGAGATACCTTTGTGTCCCTGATAAGGTGTCTGATGGCGGGTTGGTCAGATGGCACAAAGCCATAAGTACTAGACAAACTGGGGGCATCTTAATTGTTTCTGCTGGGGGAAGAGGTTAATGGCACACTGTTGGTTGTTTGATCTTCAAGGCTAATTAATCTGGAGCAAAGTGAGAAAACAATGTTGTCACCTCACCTCCCGCAACACAACCCCCATCTCTTCTTAGATGCAAACAAAGGAGAACAAAATGAAAAAATAAAGTGAGTTACACTGAGTATAATCTTTGGTGATCATATAACCTATTGTTTCCTGTTTGGATTGTTTTTAGCTTCGGGGTCTGTGATGAGGCAAGAGCACCCTGATATAGGGGAATAGAGAGAAAAAGATAATAGATACAAAGGTGAGAAGAGAACAATGTTTCAACCTACAGACTGACACAATAAAAGCATGTACATGGGAAAAATAAAAAACAAGTACAAAACAAAGAACAAAACAAGCAAAATAATATAAAGCAACAGTTACAAAGCAGAAAGAAACAGTAACTGTGTACCTGAAGTGTGTCACACACCAGTCCTATAAGTTGAGAGAAAGGACAAAAGACAACAGTCAGTGTAAGAGACAGATTGACAACAGTACACGTCATCTCAGGAAACCCTGAGGCCACAAGTGTGTTGATCAATGTGTGCATATGTGCTTTATCTTCCCATGAGACCCGAGACTCATATTGTTGTAGGGTAATGTTACCACCTGTGTGAAGTTAAAAAAGGCTGCAAGCAGTAGACAGTAGACTGACATGTCACCAGAGGTTAATTCAAGTTCAGGTTTCGTATTAGGAGAAATGTGTCTGAGGCCCTGAGACATGTTGAAAAGCATTACACAGTGAGAAAAGCCAATGCAAGGAACTGATTCAGTAAACCTGACTAAGGGAAAATCAAAGTGTGATCACTGGGTAAGTCAAAGATACAATATCAGAAGAAATATGTTTAGATTAGTTTGTTGGTTGATATGCACAGGCTTTATACATAAACATAAAACCACTAAAATGTAAAAAGAGTTTGACATTTTGGAGTTTATAAATTTTTTCATTTCCTTACCGAGTTTTAGGTGAGAAAATCAAACCCAATCTCATGTCAGTGAGATTCATCTCAATCTAATGTGTGTTAAGTATGAAGCTAGAGCTGGAATTCATTAGCTTAGCAAGACTGGAAGCAAACCAATACAGCTAGTTTTGTCCATTGTTCAAAAATACACTTATCAGCACCTTCAGTATAAAGCTCACTAGCCATTTGAATCATGATAATTTAATTCTTACTTAAACAAAATTTAAATACAGCATGTTTTGGTTTTACAGAGGCAGAACAATTTTTCTACTTCTGTAAAATTCTCCAAAAACATCAAACTAACCTCACTAGACAAGTTCAATCATTAGAGCTGCTGATACAGTTCTACAGAGGAATCACCGAGTCTGTTCTCTGCACCTCCCTCACTGTCTGGTTTGGCTCAGCAACCAAACAGGACAAGTACAGGACTGCAGAAAAGGTCATTGGTGTGAGCCTGCCATCCATGGAGGACCTGTACTCCACACGGGTCAAAAGGAGGGCGGAGAGGATCACTGCAGACCCCTCACACCCTGGACACAACCTGTTTGAACTCCTCCCCTCTGGAACGTGTTACAGGTCACTGTGCACCAAGACAACCAGGCACAGGGACAGTTTCTTCCCCCAGGCTGTTACTCTGATGAGCACTTAACCCATGACAGTATGACTGGACAATAACCCTCAGTGCAATACCTGTAAATATACCTCGTACAAATTATACAGATTTGTACAGGCCTCTAGTTTTAAGTACTCTGTTTTTATTCCTTCTTATCACATTTCACAATGAGCATTCTTTGTCTGCATTGTTTACTGCCTGTTTATACTGCTTATTTTGCATTGTTTGGACTGTTTGTTACTTGTTAATACTGCTTACTTTGTTATATTACACAGCCTTATGCCGGTTTACTGTTTACTTGCCCCTTGCATGGGGATATGTACATAGACATTGAGAGCCGATGTACCAGAGTCAAATTCCTCTTGTGTCCGACACACCTGGCCAATAAAGCTGATTCCGATTCTGATTCTGATTCTAGAACACAAACAGAAGAACAATTCCCAAGAAAAACAATGGAGATTAGGCTAGTGATTGGTTGTTAATACTGGTATGCACATTGAACTCACCTTATGACAGGGGAATTAAGGTCTGCAAGAATGTCAATAAATTTGCAACACTGAACTTGTTCTTACTTTTAAGTCTGTGTGCAAGATAAACAAACGAGATTCAGCATGTTAATCGGTGAGCTTTACAAGTGTCGGTAGGCATATTTTTGAATTTGAGTGAGCCAGGATAGCTGTTTACCCCTGCTTCTAGTTCTTATGTTAAGCTAAGATAAGATAAGCTAATTGCCTCCTTGCTCATGATTATGGCTAAAGGTTGTTTGAAAAACCAAATTGTTTTTGATACAGGAGAGCACATCTCGCTTGAGAATTCACATAATTTCACCTCTTGAACTTTGCCATTAGAAGGAAAAGATACCTTACACAGCCAAGCAGGGTCTTGAACTATTTGCAGAAGGTCAATAAGCAGGAGAGCACTGTGAATGTCAGGTGAAATGACAGCTCATAAAAATGAAGCTGTTGGAGGTTGATTAGAACAAGTGTCCATAAACCAGGCGACCCAAGAACATACCCTCCACCTCCATGTCTCTCCTCTAAACCACATACACACATTGTGAAATTAGCTGGTGCTTCTTTCCTCCCTCAGTCAGTGGCGCCAAGTCATAAAGTGAACCACAGCCTTGTTTATGACTCCTGACAGTTAGATAGTGAAGGGTGGTTCTCACCCCCCAATCACAGCTTGTCAGTTGTGAGAAAAACAACCTAACCTCTTGATCTAAGGGTCACTTTGGAATAATCAGAAGAAAACAGAGGGAAGTGAAGCTCCCAGTAGCCTCAGTAAATATCACAATCTTGTTTAAAAAATTTGCTTTGTGGAGTGTTTGTTCTGTTCCGAATAGCATGCATAACTGCAAATGCTGATTGATACTTTAGGTTTAGGCTAAAACTGCTCCCATTATACTTTCTTTTCTTTTGGAATTTGCTGTTAGAAATAGATAACTGTTCAATTCAATTCATTTCAATTTAATTTTATTTGTATTGTACCAATTCACAACAAAAATCATCTCAAGGCAATTCACACAGAGAAATACCCAACAAATCCCTATTGAGCAAGCACTTGGTGACAGTATAGAGGAAAACTCTCTTTAACTGAAGACACCTCCGACAAACTCCAGCTCTTGGTGGGTGGCCTTCTGCCTCAACTTGTTGGAGTGAGTGGATAGAGAAGAGAGAAAAGAAAAGCATCAGGAAAGGAGAGGGGAGAAGAAGAACTCGGAGAATCATGGAAAACCCCCCGGCAAACTAGCAGCATAATGTTGCAGTCAGACTGAGTTTCAAAGGAGAAATGGTTCAAATCACTTGACTCTCTGACTTCACAGTTTTACTGTAATAACAAGAAACCCAAAATTTCAACACTTCAGAAGAAGAAATTACAACGTGGCCAAGAAGCACCAAATTTTGAGCATTATTTTTTAGCAAATCAACTACAATATTTAGTTAACTGGATTCAGAAGGACAGTTATAATAGCTCATGGATACAACTAGAACAAAATCAGTGCAAAAATAACTTCAGTTGCAGACCTTGCCTTCTTACCATAAGAAACTTAAGACTTAAGAAAATGAAATATTGCACAAATATCACAACCTCTGCAACTCTGACAGCCTGGGGAAAAGCAAACAAAACCACAAAATTATCATTAACACCATGTAGATGCACTACAATTTGGCACAACCCTGATTTTCAACTGCATAACAACCCCATCCACTTTCCAACATGACAACACAAAAGAAACACTCACCTTCATCACCTACAGCATTTGAAAACAACCAGCTCATACCATTCAATACATTAGTCCAGAAGTACGGAGATGGGAGAGGAGAATTTCTGCAGTACCCACAGTTAAAATCCATAATATAATCAAACAACCCACTACAACCATCCGTGCTAGCTGAAGAGACAACAAAATCTTAAAGGTAGAGCAGGTGTGCTGGTTCCACAGGAAAGGAGCTTGATAGCTTAAGGCTTAGTTTCCTTTCTGTAACTTCTAGGAACCACATACAGGCCTGCACTTTGAGAGTGAAGTGCTCTGTTTAGATGATAAGGCGCTATGAGGTCTTTAAAATATGATAGAGCCTTGTCATTAAGGGCTTTGGATGTATGCTAAAATTTATTATCCTTCCGTTCCTCTTGTTCATCTTCCCCCTACTGTAGGTTTGTCCAGCACAACAATATATCTCCCTCGGTTCAGGTAGGCAGTAGCTAATAGTGGCAATGCTGTCTGAGGGGTCAAGGCCTTGTTTTAACTTAACTGCCCTGCTAAAGGTCAGAGTTGCAAGCCATTACTTCTTTACAGATTAATAGCAAAACAAGGCAGCACGTGATATATGGGCATGTAGTGGACATTGGTGGACAACACATATAAAAGAAAAACATTTTTGGCAGTAACTCCTAATCCAATTTGTTATCCCATAATTGCAAGTGCATCATGATCAGTTAGATATTCATTTTGCTTGTATCAGTGTCATCACTAATGGTGGTTCAGTGTGTTTAAACAACTAGTGTATTCACAATGTAACACTGGTATTTCCCTTTGGGAGAACCTTGTAGACCACCAGACAGATGCTATCATAGAAGTCCAGGTGGAGTCAGCTCCAACAATGGCTGCCCTGAGGGTCAATGTCACAGTGGGATTTCATTCCTAGCCATCAACAGCCTAACCATAATTACAAACTGTCAGACTTACTGTGCTTCTTTAGAAGACCATAAGACCACTGGAATGTATCTTACATCATTGTGAAAAATGTTAAAGACATTTTCTACTAAAAAAATAATGTGCTTCATCACCTTTTATCCTTAGGCTATCCGAACTGTGAATGCTGCTATTTACAACTGTGTGTAATGATTTGATACATTCACCACTGGAATGTATCTTACATCATTGTGAAAAATGTTAAAGACATTTTCTACTCAAAAAATAATGTGCTTCATCAGCTTTTATCCTTGGGCTATCCGAACTGTGAATGCTGCTATTTACAACTGTGTGTAATGATGTGATACATTCACTCAGTATTTTAATATATATAATTAGATATAATCTGTTGTTTTTATGTTTGTGTGGATGTGGTTATTGTGGCTGTGAGAATGGATATTTTATATTTTTATATTTTTATATTGCACTGATCAGAAGTGGCACATCTAAATTTGTTGTACTCATGTACAATGACAATAAAGGTAGTTTCAAGTCTCAGTATGGTGTGAGTCTGATATGATGTTGGTAATTTAAGCAAACAATCACACAGTTGGCATTACATTTAGATCCAAATGTCGCTGAACAAATATGCTGAGCAGTTTGCCATAAAATTTTACTAAATTTTGGTGATTCCTTAATTCATCTAGCACCACTAACAGGACAAAAGTTGACTTTGTTCAAATGATAATCACTTATTGGCCAATTATGTTATATACACACCGATGGTAGTGCTGTCCCTGCAAGGCACTACT